AGGGATAAGCCAAATGGCAAATGATTTAGGTAAACTAGCAAAATGGTCAAAATTGTGGCAACTGACATTTAATGTGGCTAAGTGCAAGGTGATGCATCTTGGACGTAAAAACCCAAGGGCAGAGTACAGAATATTTGATAGAGTACTAACCTCGACATCTGAGAAAAGGGATTTAGGGGTGATTATTTCTGATGACTTAAAGGTAGGCAGACAATGTAATAGAGCAGCAGGAAATGCTAGCAGAATGCTTGGTTGTAAAGGGAGAGGTATTAGCAGTAGAAAGAGGAAAGTGCTCATGCCATTGTACAGAACACTGGTGAGACCTCACTTAGGGTATTGTAGAAAATTGGGCAGACTAGATGAGCCGAATGGTTCTTATCTGCCGTCACATTATATGTGTATGAGTTTGAGTGTGTGAGTGTGTGTGTGTCAGGGTGTGCATCTGTTTGTGTGTGTGTATATATATAAACAGCAGTGTACTTCTGTGTCTGCGCACACATCTGTGTATGTGCGTCTGTGTGTCAGGGTGTGTGTTTTTATGTCAGTGTGTATGTATGTATGTAGTAGTGTATGTTCATACATCCAAGCAGTCAAACACCAGCACAACATACAAGCAATCTAACTCAAATATTACATACACACACCCATGCATTCAATCAAAAAAAATATATACAAAACACACCTCTTCACTCAAACACAAATACTTTACACAAATGTACATCCGCATTTAAAAGTGAACATTACTTTCAGACACACCCCTGCAATCAAACGCAAACATTATATACAAACACACCCCTGTATTAAAACACAATAACTATTTACAAGCAGCCCTTCAAACACTAACACTGTACATTACACTGTAGCGCCAGTAAATGCCGCAGCGCTGTACAGATGTGCAACCTAGAAATTTTGACTTGGGGTGCCTTAGAAAACTACTGAAATATTAAGGGCGCCTTGAACCTAAAATGTTTGGGAACCACTGCTCTATAGTGTTAAAATGCCATTGGCTTACCCTTTCCACCCTAAATATAGCAAAATCTTACCTTTATTATATGCTGCTGCTGCTGCTGCTGCTAGCTTTGCCTCTGATCTGAATCCTTGGCTGATATCATCAGAAGTGGTGATCTCAGCCAATCACAATGTTTTCCAATAGGAAAGCATGTGATTGGCTGAGAGTATCAAGGAGGCAGATCAGGGGCAGAGCCAGCACAAACTAAACACAGCCGTAGCCAATCAGCATCTCCTCATAGAGATGCATTGAATCAATACATCTCTATGAGGAAATTTCAGTATCTCAGTGCAGAGGGTGCCTCAGGAAGCACCTTTAGTAGCCATCTGAGGACTAGCCACTGGAGGTGTCCCTAGGCTGTAATGTAAACATAGCATTTTCTCTGAAAAGACAGTGTTTACTGCAAAAAGCCTGAAGGGACTGATTATACTTACCAGAACAAATAAAATAAGCTGAAGTTGTTCTGGTGACTATAGCCGGTGTCCCTTTAAACTATAAATAAAACACTTTAATTTAAAAAAAACAATAAAAATGGTAAATTTTCCAATAGTGATATAGTTAGGCCGAGGACAACTTACCAAAAAAGCAACAAGCTAAACCAAAAGCCATTAGATAGCAAAGACCCGTGTTAATACACCTACCCCCAATGCAGTGCCGGCTCTTCCTAAAGGCCAAGTAGGCAGCTGCCTAGGGTGCTTCATAGGGGGGGTGGGGTGGGCACCAGGAGGCTTGGCTTAACAGCTGGCTTGGATGCCCCCTCTATCAAGTGAGGTTAAGCGCTGGCCATTTTATCGGTCGCTAGGAAGCATTTATACTTACCAGTTCCCGGCATCAACTTTAGCCCTCAGCCAGGCCCCACTCACAGACTTCGGCAGCGCAATGGTGCTTCATTTGCTTCTGCCCTGTATGTGGGGACAAGTTGGCGGGAGTGAGCATTGCAGCAAGTTTGGCTGTGTCAGGCAGTGACGGGAAGCCAGGAATGCATTAACAATCAACTAATATATGAAATGAAGGTAAGAATCAGTATGTGTGTTTGCTTAGGTCAGTGTATGTGTGTGTGTATCAATTTGCATGGGTCAGTGTGTGTGTGTGTGTCTCTAATGGGTCAGTGTATGTATGTGTGCTTCTGTAATGGGTCATTGTGTGTGTGTGTGTGTGTGTGTGTGTGTGTGTCTGCTTGAGTCAGTGTGTGTGTCAGTCTGCATGAGTGGGTAGAGCGAATATGGCGGCAACATTTTTTTTTCCCTAGGACGGCAAAAATCCTTGAAACAGCCATGCCCCAATGTTTCGGCTTAATGCCTTTCTCAAATCACTGGTCCCTTGAGAAAGGTATTATGCCAAATCGTTGGGAGTTGGTTTATTAACACAGGTCTTTGGTCTCTAAGAGACTTTTGGTTTAACTTGTTTTTGTTTTTTGTAAGTTGTCTTTATACCATAGTTTAGTGTGCATCTCATATATATATGGATATTATATGGTTCATACACTGTAGCGAGTGCATTATAAGGCTTGCACTCTTGCAGATATATTGATTTGTGTGCTTTCCTACATTGTTGTGCATTACAAAAATGAAATTCTGCAGGTTAATTTAAAAGGACACAAATGCTAAACTCATGCTGCTTTGTTACTTCTACTGGATTGTAGGTACCAAAGTTTTAAGAATATAGTATGTTATTTAGTAGGTTGGCTTCTTCATCCTGATAATAACAAACATTTCAATAATGATAAGCTGAAATACAAAACAAAAATATGTATTTATAAAGACAGAGACCTTTTTAAAAAAAAAAGATTTTCTTTAATTTGGCCCAGGGCCTACAGCCATTGACAATGTACATCCTTAATGTTGAATAAATCTTTACAGAATATCCAGTCTCAGTGTGACAAGACTTAACTTTGAAGGTACTTAAGGCAGAGTACCAAAGTATGCTGCCTGGACAACTATCAGTTGAAGGAAGATGTCCTGCGCACAGCGCGCCGCATAGTCCCACTCCGCATGGAAGGCCAAACAATTACAATCTACCAAGACCTGCTCCGCTACACCATGCAAGCCAGACAAGCCAAATGCCCTGTCACCTCTGGCCTGCAAACAGCAGGTATCCAGTACCGCTGGGGCTATCCCTTTACCCTACATGCACGCCGAGGTCAAGGAACCCTGATAGTGCAGAAGCCAGAAGATGTTCCCAGATTCATGCGCTCCCTGGGACTCCTGCAAGCTCCGGTCCCCAATTGGTTAGCAAGCTCCTTCCTCCGGCAATCATATGGCCCCATGCAGCCACCCGGATGAGACATGGGCCAAGGTAGGCCCCAATCACAGCGTTATCCGGCAAGGCGTCCTGACCAAGCCAGGCCTGAGGAGTAGTGACATACTACACACAGCAGTGTTCGATGCCCGTTGGAGTGGGGGCTTCCGGACTGTGTGGACCCACACAACTTGAGGAGGACACTGGCCGACTCTGCTACACTTAGAAGCTGCAGGTGAGAGTGGGCTACACTAGGGGACCACAGGACACAGCACTGGGGACTCAGTATACCTCTTACACCACTAATGAAAGCACCGTCACCCACCAAGATAGACAGATGCCCACCACAGCCAGGACAACTCGGATACCTAATGCCAGAGATAGCAACGATTGAACTAGGCACCCGCTCAGCTAAACAGGAGGGGGATGGTTGGGATAGCACAATTTCCCAAAACGGGGTCCGTGGGGGAGGATAACAACTGACAATACTATAAACCGGGGGGAGAGGGGGAGGGGGAACAAAACATAAAAAGGTGGGGGATCAGCTGGAGATGTGAACCATGGCATGAAGATGCTTGTCAAGCGGGAGAAGTATAGCTTTATGATTAATCTCCTTGTACTAATTGTTATGTATGCCTCTTTATAGTCCGATTCGCTATTTTCGCATTAACAGAATTGTATTACTTCAGTGTCAAGGTCCTAACCGCGAAGACGGGGAAGAGGGGGAATCAGCTGGAGATGTGAACCATGGCGGGAGGATGCTAGACAAGCGGGACAAGTATAGCTTTACGACTGATCTCATTATATTCATTGTTGTATGCCTCTTTATAGTCACAATCGCTATTGTTTCAATGTCAAAGACCTAACCGTGGAGGGGGAAGGGAAAGGGGGGGAGGTGGGGCACCATAGTGGGTTAGATGTAAAGGTGCCAAGGCAGGAAAGACAAACACCGGGACACAACCTACCATCCCCTTTGGTACTCCCTGCTATAGTTCACAGCCAAAGGCTCACCATCGGTACCCCTAAGACGCCTATCCTCCGCCCCATAAGCTTGAGGAATCACACATATAGGTGATACAGGGAAGAGCCTCTACTTGGTATAGAGAGAGGGCGAGATTGGAGACATAGCAGCAAGGTCGGGGAAGTTGGCGCCTTACGACCCAGCAAGGGCTGACAAAACCCCACCCAACCCTCACCTACGCACAGGACACGCACCAGGGACCAGCAAAACTGAGAGCCTAAGGAGTCCTCACAGGGCCCATACACGCAACGCCCACAACTCTCCCACACGTGCCATCCCCCAGCACACCAAGCCACGACCCCTGCCAGGCAGGACAGCTCCCATACACTGGCATCGACATTTACCCAGGGCCAAAAAAGGAATGCAACCCGCATTCACCCACTCCACTGCGGAGAGGTGCAGCGAACCTTTACCTCGATAGGCCATTGAGGAAGCACTCACCCACAACCCCACTGTAGAACAAGGAGCTTACCTGTAGGTACATGCTCGTTGCACTTACTAAGCACACACCAAATACCTGGAGACAGTGAAGTCTCCTTTGGAAGACTAGAGTTAGACGACTCACCCCCCAACAGGGATAGGACATAGTGAGTTCCCAAAACAGGGACACCGCTTTGCTCCTGGAGTTTACTCGGGCACCCAGCCGAACCGGCCCCGAGACGCTCATCTACCCGTCTACCTTGTCCGTTGACCTGAGATACTCCCTCAGCCGAGGGGAGGACCACTCGAGTCATGGTTTGTTTGCCTCACCACACCAGCTACCCACTAAATAAAGCACCCTTCTTACCGCGCACTACACCCAGTACAGTCCGGACCGCCTCTCTCCCCCTCCCATCCCTTAGCCCCGTTTCCTTCACACCGGCCCCGCCCCTCGCTGGCTGCCCTGGGGATACTGGCCACGGGGACTGCCGGTACGCCCAGGATGATCTGATCCTCCTCTCCTACAATGTTCATGGCCTTAATATGCATGAGAAGTGCACCCGTCTCCTGCGAGACCTCAAACGATATAACACATCCATAGCCTTCCTCCAGGAGACACATTTTCAGGAACCAACACTGAAAAACCGCAAACATCCACTAGGATATTTCAGCAACAATGGAGTGGGCATTCTGTTCTCTAAACTAATCCCATATACCGAACACTCGACCCTCCGCTGCGAACAAGGTAGATATGTATTCACGAAGGGCACCATTCAGGACCAGCAATACACGTTCGACAATATCTATGCCCCAAAATCGAAACAATACCAGTTCCTCCACTCCGCGCTCAACACCCTGATGAGATTCGCAGAAGGGAGCCTGGTGTTAGGGGGAGACCTGAACCTGGCGCTACACACCAACCAGGACTCCTGCGCCCGACCAGGGGCAAGCCCGGACAACAGGCACGCTAAAACTGTCTACTCCATCACCACCAACTAGCCGACTACTTGAATGCGCTGCACCCAACGGCGTGGGACTACATCTTGTACGCCACAACACATGCCACGTACACTAGGCTGGACTATTTCCTCGTGCCCCACGGCAACTTGACCCTCCTTATAGAGTCTGAAATCCTACATGACATGGTCGGACCACTGCCCACTTGTGGTTACGCTCGCCCCTATTTTGGCCCCGCCAAACTTCGTGGCGCCTGAACGAATCCATCCTCTCAGACACAATGCTGACGGAAATGGTGAGGAAAACCCTGCAGGATTACTTTGCGAACAACGAAACGGGTGACACTACTCCCCTGATGTGCTGGAAAGCCCACAAAATGGTCATACTTGGAGACTTCATATCAGTTTGCTCCAAGTGCAAAAAGGAATCTATGCAAGTGATCCTGGACCTCAGCAGAGATATCGCGGCCTTGGAGACTCGGCACAAACGTACACTGGACAAACAGGTGTACCAAGACCTCCTGCTCAAACTAGGCCAACCCTTTACGCTCCTGAACCGTTCGATCCAACGATCATTCCAACACTTTCAACATATGATCTATGAACACGGGAACAAATGCAGCAGACTGCTAGTGAACCTTCTAAAACAACAAAGGTCCAAACTATATATCCCGAAAATCAAAGACTCCAGGCAACAAACCCAACACCTTCCAGACCGAATTTCGACAACGTTCCTGCAGAACTACCAGCGATTATACCACATACACCAGGATGTGCAGGGCGCAGCAGACCCCCACAGACGGGAAGAAATACAGTGATACCTCGACACAGCAAAAATGACCAGACTTGAGAACTGGAATTCCAAGGCCCTGGAAAACCCCATTACATCAGAGGAATTGGCGCAAGCCATCAAGAAAGCGAACACTGGCACATCACCAGGACCAGATGGCCTTCCCTCCTGTATTATAAGACATTCAGACAGGACCTCCTCCCAAAATTGCAAGCCGTCCTGAACTCCATTCTGGACAGCGTCCTGGCATCACGCATCGTACCGCTACTCCCAGAGGCGGTACATCCGGACCAAACAGAGTTCATCCCAGGTCGAGAAGTTCGAAACAATACTATCCGGGCCCTAAACCTGATCTTGTCAGCCAGAATACTGAGATGGGAACTGATGTTCGGGGTGCTCAGAGGCCGGGGAATGGGACCAAAATTCCTCTCATGGGTCGAGACACTATACTCCATATGCGCAGTCGATCCTGCCTCAATGACCTAATGCAATTTAAAGCGCTCTGCACACAGGTTGAAGAACCACCACGAGCACTGTTCCTGATATACTCAAACCTGATAACCGGGAGATATCTCCTAGTACCACCATGCATCAGACAATGGGAGGAGGACCTCGAGGAACCCCTAACAGAAGCAGACTGGGAAAAAATCATAACCCATGTACAAAAGAGGCCAGGATCGGCACGTCTGCAAGAAAACCCGTACAAGGTCCTCACATGCTGGTACCTCACTCCTACGACGCTCCACGCCAGGAACCAAACACTACCTGGCGCTGCGGGAAGGCAACGGGCAGATTCACCCATGTATGGTGGGACTGCACTCTTGTCAAAACATTTTGGATCTTGATCAGCATAGTAATAAAGGAGGTAACGGATGAATCGCTATCATGGTCCCAGCCCCGTTCCTTCTACACCATACCACTATGCCGACACCTGCATACAAACGGTCAGTTATCCCGAGGCTCCTTAATGCGGCCAAAGTTACTATCCCCTTCTTCTAGAGGCAGCCACGCATGCCACCTCTCAAATGCTGGGTAGAGGATGAGGTTGCGTACAACCTCAGTGCAGGTCACGTATTGTGTTCAGCTAAAGTTTATGAATTCACCCAAAAACTACAGGCACAATGTATTTAATAAAAAAAGTTAGAACAGAAACAAAAAAAACAACAAAGCAAACAAAAACAAAACCAATCTCTATCTGTTTTTCCATAACGTATGCACTGTTTGAGCCACATCCCCTGCGTGGGAAAACTGTTCATTGTGATGATGTCAATAAAAACGGATTTAACACAAAGCGTTAAGCATTTTAATGGTACGATTGTACCATGTCGTGGGAAGTTTGAATTAAAATGGTATAGTGAATATTTTGTTTACTGGTTATATTTTTAATATGTTTTCTTAAATCTGTTCCAATGCTCCAGATATACAAAGGAAAACCTTTTCTATTAATGCTTTTTTTTTTAATATATATATGTAAAATAATTTATGAGCCAGGCTAACAATTTTGAAAAAAGTATTACAGTTTCCAAAAGATATTTATAATTTTGTGCTTGGAATGTTAAGATCTGCATAATGTGTGTGACAAGTGACATCTTCTAGAAGACTGGTTAAGAATTTCTGTATTAACACATAGATTGTCAAGTATAGTGAAGCAATGATCTATGTGATAAGTTAAATTGTAAATGTTGGAAGATGAGTGCTACTACATTGCACTCGCCACTCACGTGTACAAAGGGTTAAACTTTACCGTTCTCTGGCTCATAGACTGTGTGAATGTTATAGCCGTGAGCAAGTGCATTGTGCTAGGTAAGCCGAAGACAGACGCTCCTCCTTGTGGGCTGAGTGCAGAGTTACAGTCCACAATTCCTAGGCCTACAAATGTTTCTAGTAGTGATATGAACAAATGTAGTGGCTCACTCCGGCCTTCTGTCCTTACGTCCATCCATCTGTTTGTCTATACCTATGTTATGGATTTATATAACACATACAAACACACACACACACACACACATAGACATGTATGTCTATATATTATTGTTAGTATTAGTAGTAGTAGCAGTAGTAGTATGTATATATATATATATATATATCACCAACATAACATATAGCACTGTACAATAAGTAGACAAGACATACAAGTAACCAGCAAAATATGCTTAAAGGACCACTCTAGGCACCCAGACCACTTCAGCTTAATGAAGTGGTCTGGGTGCCAGGTCCAGCTAGGCTTAACCCATTTTTTTATAAACATAGCAGTTTCAGAGAAACTGCTATGTTTATGAATGGGTTAAGCCTTCCCCAAGCCTCTAGTGGCTCATTGACAGTTACTAGAGGCGCTATAAGATTCTCACTGTGAAAATCACAGTGAGAGCACGCAAGCGTCCATAGGAAAGCATTGATAATGCTTTCCTATGCGACCGGCTGAATGCGCGCGCAGCTCTTGCCGCGCGTGCGCATTCAGCCGACGGGGAGGATCGGAGGCAGAGAGCTCCCCGCCCAACGCTGGAAAAAGGTAAGTTTTTACCTCTTTCCCCCTTCCAGAGCCGGACGGGAGGGGGTCCCTGAGGGAGGGGGCACCTTCAGGGCACTGTAGTGCCAGGAAAACGAGTATGTTTTCCTGGCACTATAACCGATCGCCAACATATTTCATAGCACTCTACAATGGGCGAAGTGATACACAAGTAACATCAACAAGGCACATTTAAGTAACATAGACAAGAGGTAGTGAGTGCCCTGCTCTATAAAACTCACAATTAAAAGGTTGTATTTATAATACAGCTGTCTGTAGTCTCCGGTTAATTCAACTTTGCACTCATAATCCCAGAACCATAACAAATAACAGCTCACTGTAGTTATGGCATACCCCTCCAGCTGTTCCTGATTCCATGGGACAGTTACAAATTTGGCTCCCACTTAGTGTAACACTCACAAATGGCATCATGATAGTGGCAGTGTTGAAAAGGGCTAATTATTGAATGAAGATAATTGAATTTTTTTTCCGATTCACCTATTTTGACCTTCATTTTGAATTCTCACTTTATTGAATAACCCTGATAGTTTTGCAACTGACAAATAAATTCTGAATAGATAAAAGATGCACACCAAGCTAAAGGACCATTATAGGGCCAAGAACACAAATATGTTTCCCTGACCATATTGTGTTAAAACCACCATTTAGCCCCTCCTGATCCCTACTTGGCACCCTAAATAAAGTAAAATCTTACCTTTATTCCATTCTGCTGCTGCTGGTTCTGCCCTTGATCTGCCTCCTTGGCTGACATAATCAGAAATGCTGATCTTAACCAATCACAATTTACATTTATGATACATTGTATGTATTCCTTAAAAGGACACTATAGTCACCAAAACAACTGTAGCTCAATTAAGCAGTTTTGGTGTATGCTCTCACTGTTCATTTCCCTGGTACCTACAGTGCCCCATTTAATCGATGTTGGAACAAGGTGCAAAGCAAAAGAGTTTTGACCAACGGGAAATGTATTTTATAGTTTTCTGTTGGGTTACTATGGCATCATTTACATTAGACATTAGAGAGTTTAGCGTTCGATTCTCAGGAATTTGTTTGGGTTGTGAGCACTCGTAAAGTTTGCCAAGTATTTAGCTACAGTGGTTGAAAGACTCATATGACAGAAAGCAGGAAGGGTACAGCACCTTGATCTAATGAACTGTTATCATTGCTATGTTTGGCAAGACGCTTGATGTTTACATAAATATGGAGTGATGCAACAAAATCTCACTGACACAAAGCACAGTGTATAGCATACGGAATACAAGAAAACTCTAGGGGGAATTGTTTCACTGTTCCACAGTTATTACTTTTTTTCTTACTCAAACTTCACAGAGGATACAACTGCATATGTATAAATGTTTTTTTATGTATAAAAACTAAATAACACTACTATCTCAAAACAACAGTATGTATATAATAAACCATCACCGTGTGTATCACTCCAAACACACAAAAGAAACAGTAAATAAACAATAGATTGTGGTGAGAGCACACTGTAGATAAAATGTTACCACAAATGGCACATACAGTAGATGTATCTAAAAACAAAAAGGATCATACACCTATGGTAATATAGTAAAAACTGGATAATTGATAAAAGCAATGTTGGATCCACTCACATGGTTCTGAGCCACTCCACAAGCTGTCTCAGATTAAAAACTGAATAGTATAAGGAATGGTGGCCACTTTGGTAAGGACCTGGATAATCATATTCACAGCTTTGCCTTTTTCCTGAGGTGCAGCACCGAAGGAAACTCCAGAATACTGAAATAGGTGTGTAAAATCACCACAGGCTTTATTAAGCAAACTGACAGAATACCTTACACATAAAACAAAAGATAGTCCACATCCACTTAACGCGTTTCGGCTGATTTGCCTTTCTAAAAAGTGGTTCCGCTTTTTTTTTTTTCACGCATTTTAAAATTTATGAGATTGGTAAAAACGATTGTTAAAATACAAACTTTAATAATATTTCCCACTATTTCAGAATTTACTTGGATCTCTGCTAAGATGAGAACATGTTGATAAAAGATATGCTCCAAGCACCATAACCATTACAGCTCACTGTAGTGGTTATGGTGCCAGGAGCACCCTCGCACCCTTTCTGTGCAATTTGTCAAACTGATTTACAATGGTTTCACATCACTTACCAGGGTCCCGCCAGGCTATATTGGTTATAATACTTGGAGTGCAGGATATTAACTAAACTGGGTAAAAACTCAGCAAGTTTCCATTATCTTAGGGAGAACAGCGAATGTGTAAAACAAACTGGACTTAGAAGCTTAAACGAACACTCCAAGCACCATAAACCGAGACAACTCTAGACTTTCTGAGGCCTTAGGAAAAGCTTTAATTAGAGATCCTATAATGATGTAGCAGTATGTAATAAGGATGGTGTGCAAGTTGGCTGTGTGTGGTGTGCATGATGTCTGTGAAGCGTAACTGTGCAAACACAGAGATACATTTCCAGATGTAGGGATATATTACTGTGAAGCATCAGTGTGTGGGCGTGGGGTGTATTTCTGTGGATCATCAGTGAATACCTCTCAACTACGGGAGTCCCAAGAATCAAGTCACCAGTGGGGACGTAAAGAGGTAGGGCCTATGACACGAATGTGTTACAGGTCTGCCTAATTAACTGGCAGCTCAGCTTGGCATGCCAGGCTGCCTGCCAATACCACTGTCTGGCCTACAAAGGATCCTAGTGCCCTAAACATAATGCAAGTGCATTTAGTGATGCATGTTGTAGACAGTTCCCTATGTCCCGAGAATCAGGACACCAGGGAACTAATTTGGGACAGGCCTTGAAAACCAGGACTTCCCACCGAAATGGGGACAGTTAGGAGGCCTGTCAGTGTGGGGGTGTATATCTGTCGATACCAGAGGACAAGAGACAGGGCAAGGAGAGGGTGTTGTGAGTGCATGGAGGCTGTGAATCTCAGCCAGGAGTGGGAATTTACATCAGTGTGAGTTGGAGGAAGATTTATGAAAGGGAACTGAAATGGATGTGGAAGGAGTGTATACAAAGAAAGAGACGGTGACTGATTCAGAAAAGTAAAGTGGTAGAGTACTGCAGCTGATATAATTTATCATGAAAAGGAGTTTCTCAGAAACAATATAGAACGTGGATAGGAGTTCAGAAAGGAAGGTAAAATAAATGGTAAGAAGGGAACTTGAAATGAAGAGAGTGAAGAATTAAAAATGAAGGGAAAACGTGGAAAGGAATTGGGAAATAAAAATGGGGCATTGGCCATTTTGGAAAGGTTACTTAATTTCTTCAGAAGAGAAGCACTGGCTCATAACCCTGCCGTCACCTGTATAGTCTGCTGTACAGTCACAGTTATATCATCCTTTAGTTTGTGCAGCAGTAAAAGACGTAGATTGTGTGTTTGGTGACAAACTTGTTACAAGATGAGGGAACATGTGAGCATGTGGTAATGTATGTAATTATTTATTTTTCGTTCTTCTAACATAGTGAAAAATAAATCAAACCCAAGCCCTGGAGAAAGTTACAAACCAGCACTTTTTACTTAACTTTTGAAATTTGTTGTTTGGTGATGAGTAAACCCCACAGAAAGGAGATAGAAATTGTGCAATTAAACTGCCTGTAGGCATCCCTATGACAAGGGATCCTTGTGATAAGGTTCATTCAAAGAACATGAATGAAGATGCACAAGTTATACCGGTAGTAGTATCAGGATTCAGAATTACTTCCCCTTTCTAATCTAGTGTGAATTCATTGCAGAAGCTGACACCCACTTGGAAACTTCAAAAGTGAGTATCTTTTTATTATTATAATTATTTTTTTAACTTTTTAATGGATTGTTTATTAAACCCACACGTTTTATAACTTTTATGTTTTTTTGTTTAAGGTTCAGCTGCTGTAAAAAGTAATTTTAGTACAAAACGTAGTCTCGCGTTAAAAGAAACTCTGTTGTGTGTTACATGAGGGTGCTGTATGAAACCTCTAATAATTCTGTTTATACTTTGTGTCGGCCAAAAGGCTAGCAATTGTATAGATTTGCTGATATCATAAAAAATATTTCTCTGCCTTCTGGTTCCAGGCAACGTGAGAGATGTCGCAAGAGAGTCCTGCGCATCTGCGTCTTACCCATCATCCTCCCTAATTTCACCCAGCTTTTCTTTCAAGATAGCTCAATGAGTTTTCATTGCATCTACCTGTTCTTTATTTATACGCTATCTGCTGTTTCATGCTTCTCCTTCGGCTAGAGTAATGTAGAGGTGAAAATATTTGCAGATTACAAGCGCACTCTGTCATTTTATGCATGATATCGTTCCTTTAAGCCCAACCCAGATTCAGTCGTTCACTGTCTGCTAACCTAAACTCAGTGTGGCCAATCTCCTGCATTTGCTTTGCTCTTTGTCCACTCTCAGTGACAACTTTGCAAGAAGTCAGTTAAAGTTCAGTGAGCTGCCAAACAGGCACAGGACAACAGAGAAAGCCTGGAAGAAAGAGAGGAGCCTTTTGTTAACCCCTGCACTCCCAGAGAGACCAGCAATGTGTATAATTCCTTAATCCATGCCTTCTCAGAGAGAACAGCAATGTGTATAATTCTTTAATCCATGGATTCTCAGAGAGACCAGCAATTGTGCATAATTCCTAGGCCCATGCACTCTCACAGAGACTGTCAACGTGTATAATTCCTTAAAGGAACACTATAGTCACCTAAATTACTCTAGCTAAATAAAGCAGTTTTAGTGTCTAGATCATTCCCCTGCACCTTTCATTGCTCAATTCACTGTCATTTAGGAGTTAAATCACTTTGTTTCTGTTTATGCAGCCCTAGCCACACCTCCCCTGGCTATGATTGACAGTGCCTGCATGAAAAAAAAAACTGGTTTCACTTTCAAACAGATGTAATTTACCTTAAACAATTGTATCTCAATCTCTAAATTGAACTTTATTCACATACAGGAGGCTCTTTCAGGGTCTAGCAAGATATTAACATAGCAAGGGATAAGAAAATCTTAATTAAACAGAACTTGCAATAAAGAAAGCCTAAATAGGGCTCTCTTTACAGGAAGTGTTTATGGAAGGCTGTGCAAGTCACATGCAGGGAGGTGTGACTAGGGTTCATAAACAAAGGGATTTAACTCCTAAATGGCAGAGGATTGAGCAGTGAGGCTGCAGGGGCATGTTCTATACACCAAAACTGCTTCATTAAGCTAAAGTTGTTCAGGTGAATATAGTGTTTCTTTAATATGAATACAACTTTGTATTCCTAGCACTATAGTTTCCCGTTTAACAAACAGGTCATTTTAGGTATCAAAAGGTATAAAAGACTTACTATACCAACATAAAATATAAACAGGGTTATTCACTAAAGTGAGATTTGTCATGGTAATTTAAAATCGTAGGCAAAAGTAGCTAATCTGGAAGAACAGTTGATTTGGAGAACTTTTTCAGTTTGGCTATTTCTTCCTTGAAATTGGAATTGACTTTGAATTCCTGCTTATTCTCACTTTAGTGATTAACCCAGCAAGTATACTGTAAAAAAATATTTATTTATTTATAAAATATTTTACCAGGAAGGATACATTGAGATTTCTCTCATTTAAAGTATGTCCTGGGTCCACAAAATATTGCATTGTTACATTAGGGTACAATAAAATACAAATACAAAATACAAAAAAAATATTAATACACAATATATACAAAATTTACCATAGAACAGGTAGGAAATATATAATCACCCATGACATGTGCATTCTGTTTTGAGGTATGTAGAGAGGGATCTATTAAAGGACTCTAGGCTTGGGGAAGATTTTAAAGTTTGCGGGAGGTCGTTCCACAAATGCGGTGCTCTGTAGGAGAAGGAGGATAGGGACGCTTTCTTTTTGTATTGAGGCAGACTAAATAAAGTGCTGGTACTGGATCGGAGGTTATAGGAGGTGGGAAAAGCTGAGGAGAGCATTCTGTTCAGGTAGGGTGGAAGTTTCCCATAAAAGCTCTTAAACACAAGGCTGGAGAGATGAAGGGTGCGTCTGGATTCCAGCGACAGCCAGTTTAGTTCTTTTAGCATGTCACAATGGTGGGTCCTGTAATTACATTGTAGCACAAATCGGCAGAACGAGTGATACAATGTATTGAGTTTATTAATGTGGGATTGCGGTGCAGATGCATATACTACATCCCCATAATCAATGATTGGCATCAGCATTTGCTGTACAATCTTTTCCTTTACTGTAGGGCTTAGGCAGGATTTGTTTCTGTACAGGGCACCTAGTTTTGGATAAAGTTTAGATGCAAGTTTTTCTATGTGGAGGCCAAAAGATATATTGGGGTCTAACAACATACCCAAGTATTTGAAAGAGTGGACTGCGGTCAGTGTGCCATTTTAATTTGTTTTGATGGATAGGTGGGAATTGTGTAATTTGTGTATTTTAGGTACTTTTCCATAGATCATTGTGACAGTTTTGTCAGTGTTCAGGAAGAGTTTGTTTTTTGCGATCCACTTTTCTACCACCGTAAACTGGTCTTGGAGCACAGCCTCAAGCTGCGGTAGCTCAGATTTTCTCACATAGATCACTGTGTCGTCCTTAACAAAAATGGTGGAAAATATGATAAGCAAGCACTAGAAAGAACAGCAGGGAAGTGGAGAAAGAAAAGAGCTATAAAAGGGGTGAAAAACAAGTAGCAATAGAGGTGAAAACGAACAACAGCTCAATTAGACTGCCCTTCGGTGGGTCCCCACTCAGATCTCAAGCAGGTTTTAACTCATCTAGTGCCATTACAGAGAGAACATATCTGAAGCCATACGGGCAGTCCAAATCCAAAATGCCAGTAAGTTCCCTCTAGAGATACAGTAGCCTCAGACGATCGTTTCAACCTTGTAAACTATAATCAGTGAGGTATAGCTCACCATGCCTAGAGGGATATTGGCTATATCTCACTGATGATACCTTAGAAGGTTGAAATGATCGTCTGGGTTTGCTGTATCTCTAGAGGGAACTTGCTGGCATTTTGGATCTGGACTGCCTGTATGGGTGGGACCAGTCTGATATGTTTCAGATATGTTCTCTCTGTAATGGTACAATATGAGCTAAAACCAGTTTGAGATCTGAGTGGGGACCCAC